CGCGCCAAACAATCTGGCCGTTTTGCGCGCGAGCATGCGCCGGCTGGCGCGGCCGCAGAGATGCGACAGCCAAATCCAAGCACTCATCGAATTCGCCGCCGCATGGGTTTTGCAAACCAAATTGCGGGTGGGCGGGCGGGAGTATTGCGCGAGCAATGGGGTGGACAACTCAATGAAAGAATCTAAAGATCGACCCCCCCGCCCCCATCCACCCACCCGCCCGCCCAGACCACGCGCCGCGCGTCGAGATCATCCGAACGCCCTTGCGCAGGTGCCTGTGGCCACTCGCGCGCGTCGGCCGCGCGCGCGCGTCGAACTCCCCCGAACCTCCGTCGCCGACGCGAGGGCATCATCATCATCATCATCGTTACCGGCGAACGACATCAAAATCGGCGCCGCCATTGGCCTCGCTGTCGTCGTCGCCACCATCGTCACCATCATCGCTACAATCACAATCGCGTTTACCTTTGACGGCGTAGCCGTGATCCCGCGCCCGCCGAACTCACCGACTCGCACTGAAGTGCCCGCTGGAAGTGCCCAGCGGTCAGCGCCACCGCGGCCGCGTCGGTCGCGCCGCGCTAGCCGGTCGCCGCGGGCGCGAGCACGCGCGGGCTAGCGCGTCTGCGCAGATGCACCAGCCAACGCCAAGCACTCATTGCATTCGCCGTCGAATGGGTTCTGCGAACCAAATTGCGGGCGGGCGGGCGGGAGGCTCGCGCGAGCACTGGACTCCCCAACTCACTCCGAACGTTGGCTGGTTTTTCAAATTTAAACTACCCCCATCACCCCGACCCCGGATTTCTCAACCCGATCTGAGTATGCCTCGTTTTCCATTACCCCAGTGAGTTCACGCCACCACAGCCAGGTCGGAGATCCAGCCCCCCCCCATCCACTGCAAAAATACAATGCGAACGCGCTCGTTCATCGGAATTCATGAATGTTCAAAACCCCTTTTCCAGGGAGAGAGGAAAGAAGAGAAAACAATAAGGAGAACAATCAACAAAAACGAAATGCACGCGCGCGCGTCGACGCGGGCGCATGCCAAGATATGTCGAACTCTCGGTTTCGCACAAGGTTCCAAAATCGAGAAAATGAATACAAGTGAGAGAACATGGTTTTGCAATGCAGGTTTTCCCAAGTGCGCCCGCGCCCTCGCAACTTCTTAAAAGGAGCGACGGTTGTGTTAAACGTGTTATTGTTATCGCCTTCCTTACATGCTACCGAACGGGACTCTCGCGCGCCTGTCGAAATCGTTCGAACGCCCTCGCGCGCGCGCTGTCGCAATAATCCACTGCAACAAAAAATGCATGCGCGCGCCTCGTCGCGCGCGTGCCCAGCTTCTCCAAATTCCCCAAGTGTCGCGGGGTATTCATCAACGCGTGATCCGAAAACGTGTCAAAATACAGGGTACTGCAACTTCAGCCCTCATAGGTTCTCCAACGTGCTCATCAATATCTGCCAAGCGAGCCTCTCGCGCCGAATGTCGAATTCATGCGGAAACTTGAAAACTTGCGCGCGTGCTGGCAAGGAGCGCGATCCGTCCCAAATCATACGACGCGGGCCACTCGCGCGCGTCGGCCGCGCGCGCGCGTCGAACAGAAATCTTCATCGCCGGCGCGAGGACATCCGTCATCGGCATCGGCGGGCGACGTCAACATCGGCGCCGACATTGGCCTTGCCGTCGTCATCGCCACCAGCGCCACCATCATCGCTACTCCCACAATCGTGTCCACCGTTGTCGGCGTCGTCATGATACCGCGCGCGCACAAGCCAAAGACTCGCACTGAAGTGCCCGCTGGGAACGGGTCAGCGGCCAACGCAACCGCGACCACGCCGGCCGCGCCAACCTAGCTGGCCGCTATGCGCGCGAGCATACACGGGCCAGCGCGGCCGCAGAGATGCTCAAGCCAACGCCAAACTCTCATCGCAATCGCCGCCGCATAGGTTGTGCGAGCCAAGTTGCGGGTGAATGGGTGGGACGCTTGCAAAAAAGTTGGCTGTGTCATTGCATTTGTAAACATCATTCGCTCCACATAGATTGTACCGCACAATTTGCATCAGCTGCGCCGACTTGATGTTGTTCCGAACTGACCACGCGCCGGAGATCGGATGCCCCCCGACGAACGGTCCAGGCCTACAGCCTGGTCAGCATTACTGTGGATGCTCAGGCCCAGGAGCCTCGCAAGGAGCCCCCAAGAACCACTGCAGAAGCGGAGACGGCTCACGAAGCACGCCACGGCGAGCACGCCGCATCTCATCGGCCTCACTGGCCAAGCACACGCACGCCTGCGACCTCGGGCATGGCGAGGAAGAGCGTCAAAACCCGATTTTCGCTGATGCCCGCGTCCCTGCGCCTGATGGCGTCCATGACGTCGCGCGAGTCGCGGCTGCGCCCCAGCATCTGGGTGGCCACCGGCTTCCAGCGCGCCAGCACCACCGCGCCCCCCGCTTTGCCACGTAACGAGGCTACCAGCGAGACACGGGAGCGCGCAGGCAGCCGCTGAGGGCGGAGCATTTGGCGTCGCGTCCGAGGGCGCCGGGAGCGCCAAGGCTCTAGGAGCGAAGCCCTCGACCGCCCTGTCCTCCCAAGCGTCGTCCTCGAGGTCGCGGTCGCCGTCGTTTGCCTCTCGCCGTTGCCGTCGCTTCCGACAGCAAGCACCGCAGGCCCCAGCTGCATGCCAGCGCGCTGGTGCTTGCGAGCACGCCGCCGCCGAAGCAAGGAGCCTTTAGGCGGCGCGGCCTCCGCGGGAGCATCAGGCGGCTCCGCTGCTCAGCCCCCAGCGCGGGTGGGTTTCCAAGACCGCGCCTCAGCCTCGAGCGCCAATGTCGCCCTGCGGCAAAAGCCCTCCGAGGCCCTCAGCATCCGACGGACCGCCGGGCCCCGAGCCAGGCCCGCCGCTGCGTGCGTCGTCAGCGCAGCCCCACGGGTTCCTGACAGCGCAGCGCGGAGATCGATTGCCGCCGACATCGGTGACCCACGGCGAGCCGCGCGGGGGCGCCCCACCAAGCAACAGGCTCGACGGGGGAACGGCTACCGCATATATTGCAACGCACAGTTTGCACCACATATCTTGCACAACCAAATCCACAACATAGATTGCTCGACAAAGATAGCACAACACATAATACAAGAACACACACTTAGGGGGCCCACGCGTGCCAACATTCACTATGTGTTGTGCAATCCTTGTTGCGACGGCGAGACGGCGACGGGTCGGCGACGGCGGCAACAAGGCGACGGACCCGACAAACGAGCCCAGACGACGGGCGGCGACGAGGCGGCGATGGGGCGGCGACGGCGGGAACAAGGCGGCGGACCCGACCAACGAGCCCAGACGACGGGCGGCGACGAGGCAGAGACGGGGCGGCGACGGCGGCAACAAGGCGGCGGACCCGACCAACGAGCCCAGACGACGGGCGGCGACAAGGCGTCGACGACGACAACAATCTGGCGGACCTGACAATTGAGATCAGACTACGGGCGGCGACTAGCTACGGGTCGGCGACGGCGACTACAATGCGGCGGGCCCGACAAACAAGCCCAGACGTTGGACGACAACGCGGCGGCGACGGGGCGGCGACGGCGGCAACAAGGCAACCGTCTAACGAGCCAAGTTCCCTAGGAAAAAAATCCGTAACCCTGAAAACAAGCACTGCTTGAGAATATCATCATTAGCATCATCACCATCATCGAAATAATCCTCCTCCTCTTCCCTCCCCCTTCATCACCATACTATCCAAACCATAACAATATTACAAGCACTATTCATCATTATACTACTAATCAGGAACACCATCATAATCATCATCATCATCAGCAGCATCATCATCATCAGCAGCAGCAGCAACATCATCATCACCATCATCATCATCAGCATCATCATCTACAACAACATCATGCACTGTTTCTACTCAACTTCCTCGGCCCAAAGTCCGTCTCGACGAGTCGCAAGGCCCCCGCCCCCCTGGAGCTCACTCCGAAAGAGCAACCGTCAGGGATCGACGGTTGCCGAGTCCCGCGGCCCGAAGTGGCTACCCAGAAGCCAAGAAAATGACCACACAAGCACATACATGCTCACACGAACACATACTCGCACTTTCGAAACCCATTCCCTCTCCCTCCCCTTCCCCTTCCTCCTCCCCCATCCTGATCATCATCCTACTCCGCCTCAGGGCTGAACCTAAACGGTGCTTTTCGTTTTCGTGCTGTGTTCGTGTTCCCTCGTGTTGCCTTCAATCCACCTCTACCTCGGAACGAAGTCGAAACGAAAACGGCACACGAAATCGCCAAAACACCGTTTAGGTCCAGCCCTGCTCCGCCTGCCGCCGGGGAGCGGGTCGGAGGTCGCCTTCGCCATGCAGCACCACGCCTTCTTCTCCTCGCTCCACAGCCTGGGGCGGCCGCCGGGGCGGCGGCCACGCGGCGCGGGGAGGCGGCGGAGGAGCAGAGCAAGGCGGGGACGCGTCGATGATGATGGAGTGCACCCTCTGGCGCCAGGCTGTGGTGGTACACCTGTTTTCCACCACCACCATGAGTTGGAGGGAGGGAGGGAGGGAGGAGGAGGAGGAGGAGGGAGGACCCCCTCACTCTCCAACTTATATGGTGGTACCCCCTCCCCCTCCAACTTGTGTGGTGGTGGTGGTGGTGGTGGTGGTGGTGGTGGTGGTGGTGGTGGTGGTGGTGGTGGTGGTGGTGGTGGTGGTGGTGGTGGAGAACAGGCCCATCATGTGGACTCATGGAGCTTGACACGCACGCCTCGTCGCCCCGCGGGTCTGCCGAGGTCGGCGAGGTCCCCGTTCGAGGGGGAGCCGCCGTCCGTCCTCCGAGGGCCAGCACACTGGCTGGCAGGGAGTGCCCCAGCGAGAGCCACGCCGTGAAAAAGAGAGAGGCCCCCGTCTGCGCACGTGCCTCACGCTTTGACACGCGGGCGAATGATCTCCCGGACCTCCGACGACGTGCTTGTTTCTGCAATCCCCGGGCGTTTCTCCTAGAGTTCGGCCTCTGGAGCCCGTGATCGGGCCCCGGGGGGACCATCAGAAGCGGCTCGTGGGCGAAGAGACACCACCCGGGAGGCGGACGGGACCTGTGGGACCCGTGCATGTGTTGCACATTTTGACACGCTGGCAGCCGACCGCAAATGATGATCCCACGCGAGGCCCCACGTGGAGCTGCGGCACGGCATGCCAAGCGCAGCCCATGCACGCCGAGGAAGTCTCGGGCGAGAACCCCACGGGGCGAGGGAGCGCGGACCGTCTGTGCACTTGTGAGGCCAACGTGCGCGGCGCTACGGCGACGGCCTGATTCTGAAAAAGGACAGGCCTCCAATGGCGCACATGCTGGAACGTGTTGCACGGACGTGTGCGGCTCTGGAGCGAGAGGCACACTTTGAAAACAGCCCGCGCTCCAGCATATCCGCGAAGCTGCTGGAAATGGCAAGCCTAAGAATCGTGAGCTGTGCGGGGATCTCAGGCCTGGCCCAGCGGTGCGACGAAGAATTGCGGGCGGAGGAGGCTCGAAGATCGAGGACAGGCCCGGACATCCGCCGATCTGACTTTTCAGTCTGCGGCCCCACAGGTCCTGTCCGCTTCCTGGGTGGTGTCTCTTCGCCCACGAGCCGCTTCTGATGGTCCCCCCGGGGCCCGATCACGGGCCCCAGAGGCTGAACTCGGAATTGGAGAAAAAACACGTCGTCGGAGGTCTGGGAGGTAATTTGCCAGCTGCACACAACAGTGACCCAAGGCAGGAGTTACCCTTGGCGCGCGGCTTTCGAGGGCCGTGGGGGGCCAAATCCAAGCGCGCAGGCAGGGACCGCTTTGAGCACACACCAATGGTCACTCCGACGAGGGGTCACTCTTACGCGGAGCGGGTTTCGGGCCACTGAGGCTCAAAATTGCTCTAAAGGTCCAAAAACTGTTTTTGTTCAATACGGGGTCTGAAATCCCGACAATTTCCCAAAACCCTGCTTTTCATCCCTTGTGGTTTGTTGTCGGTCCCTGGGCCCTGCAAGGGCCCGCAGAAGCCGAAAAAAACAAAACCCCCCCGTCGTGTTTTTTCAAGACGCGAGCATGTCTGGAGTGCGATCCCCCATCCCCCCCGACCTGAGGCCGAACGTCAATTAGAGGGGGGCCGGCTCAAGTGGGGGAAACATCGACCTTGAATCGGCGATGCACTGCCGATAGAACGGCGATGGGCCCCCGATAGCGAATCCGCATGTTCCTGGGCGGGGTGGGCTACCAGACCCCTTTCGGCGATCGGTGGGCGATTGGAGGCCGATGCGTCCTCCCCAGGGCGCATGCCCCCCTTAACTCAAAGGCGTCCAGAGGGGAGTGTCCAAGAGGGGGTTTCGCAAATCCTGGCCGAGGCATACACGCGGGGACGCATGGAACGAAGAAGAGGGGGCTATGAAATCATGAGCCCGCCAAGATATGCCCCCCCCTAGTCACCACACCCCTCTTGGCCGTTCCCCCCTAACGCTGCCCCTGACCGCTCTCGTTGGGCGCGCTGGGCATTGCTCAAGGGGGGGGTGCGAGAAACGGGGGGGGCGAAGAAACGTGTACCTGTGGTGCCTCTGTGGGGCCGCAGGAGGCCGCTTTATCGGCAGTGGACAAACAGTTCTCCCTTTAGTAAACCACCCTTTAATGAAAACGGCCTGGGACCGAAACCGACGGACCTGGACCCGCAAAAATGACGGCCGCGACCGCGACGCCATCTCGCGAACCGAAAACGGCCAATTCACTATCGACGTGTCAGGGTAGGAGGTCTATCAACCTCCGACTTTAGGGCCAAGGTGCACAAAAAGGTGAACCCATTCATCGCCCCGCCGCCCCCTGGTTTCGGGCCATGAAGCGGACTCTGGCGGCCGTTCACGACGATCCAGGCACCCCCGGAACGCCCTCGGCGAGGCGCAGCTGCTGGAAGGCACCCCGAGGCTGGAAAACTGCCTCGGACCGACGCCAAGGTCCGTCCGAACCCTCAAACCTCGAACCACGACCCCTAATGTGGCGGCGCGCAAAAGAGGGTATGAGGCAGGGGGGAAGAGTTCTGAGGAGGAGACTGCTTCTCAGAAGGCGCCGGCCTTACAATTCTACATAGGGCCCGCGCCTTCGGAGAAGCAGCCTCCTTCTAAGAAGCCTCCCCCCCTGCCCCAACCCTCTCTGCGCGTGACCGACGAACCTCGAACCTAGAACCCCCAACGTTGCCCCGGACCGCCATCACCACCCAGGCCAGCCAGCCAGGAGTCGGCGGATGCCCCCCGCGCGGCCTCTCCCAGTCGAAATAGTCCTCCGAGCAGTCGTACCTCGCAGCGGCGCAGCGCGGAGAGGTGGAAAGATCGAGGAGGACCCCAACAGACAGGCTCGCGTCGTGAAAGAGAACAGGGGCGAGAATGACGGCATGACAGGATTGGCTCTGGGCACCTCGCAAAATTACCAAAGAATATCTATCGGCGCAGCCGATACGGAACAACAGGAGACATGATCCCGTGCGGGGGTTCACAGTCCCCCCCCCGCAGAAGGGAGGAGCCACAGGGTTCCACAGGCCATCCCCCCTCCAGATGGAATGGGGGGTACGCCGACGCCGACGCCGACGCCGAAGACGCCGACGACGCCGACGCCGACGCACCCGCCGCCGCCGACGACGACGGCGACGACGACGACGGCGGACGACGGACGACGGACGACGGACGACGACGACGGACGACGACGACGACGAAGACGGACGGGAAGATCACATCCGCGAGGCCTTCGCGAGGCAGCTCACGAGGGTACCCATCCAGCGGGGAGGGGGCTCGATCCCATATGCAGAGGGGGGGAGGGGGGGCAACCTTGGATAACATGTGTTTATATGTGTATATATACACGTATCTATATGTGTATATATAGAGAGATAGACATACCTGTGTATGCGTGTGTGTGTATATATATATATCCTCTGGGTCTGGTAGTCGCCAAAAAAACACGCCGGCAGCAGTGACTACGGGCTACGCGGCGGCACGTCCCACTGTCTTGCCAGAGGCTGTTCTTGCGGCTCCGGGCCTGTCCCCCTGCAGGGGGATTTTGGACGAAAAATAAAAACTACCCCAGATATACTCCAAAGTGATCAAGTAAAAGCAATAAATCGTCCCCAGACTATTTTTTGACTATTTTTGAATATTTCTCCTGTGGAGGGACACGCCCGACTGAATCCTACCGCTAAGAAGACCTTCTAGCGAAACGCACATCTCGGGATACCACAACGGCCCCGGGGCCGGGCCCTGGCTGGGCCCCGGGACCGTCTGGCACCCCCAGATGGTGTCGGCGGGGCGGGCCGAGCCTTTCGCTCGAGACTCCCTCGCCAAGTGTGATCCTGCAGATGGGTACGCGCAGCACTCTCAAGCCTGCAGGGCGGCTGGTGTTCAAAACGTGGCTCTCGACTCAGCGCCGCGCACGTGCGTCAGAAGAATCTACAACAGCTTGAAAGACGAAGGGCGGCTGTTTTTCAGGATGTGGCTCTCGCTTCAACGCCGCATACATTCATCTTACACATGTGCAGCAGTTTCAAGTTTGGCGGGCGGCAGGTGTTCAATATGTGGCTCTCACCTTGGCGCCGCGCCGCAGCAACAATAGCAGCAATATGTCATACAACCGGGGGTGCGTCGGGCACATTGGAGGCGCGTAGGGCACACTGGAAAGGACAAATCTGCAAAAAATGCGATACGATCGGGCTACGTTGCGCTATGATGTCAGCTTCGCTGTGCGGACAGGAATGCCGCCAGGAAGATTCGCTGGCCATCAGCGGGGTCAAATTGTCAATGCCACCTGCCGCTTTGCACACAACACGTATCACTTGAGCTGTCCAGTCTGCACGCGGCCTGCCAACTTTCTTCGCATACATATATATATATATATATATATATAAGTGTGTGTGTGTGTGCCTGAAACTGGCAGGAGCGATCCAGGGCAAAAGAGGGCCTCTCTTAGGGGGCTCCCTTCCAGTGGCCTGGCGGCTCTCCTCAGCAGGACGAGCTGTTGTTAAGCTACTGTTCCTGAAAAAGGGATTGCCCAGTCACGTCTAAGACACATGCGTCACTCACCGTTGGAATCTAATCTGACGCGATCCGCAAGATCGTGCGCAGGAACCGACAATGAACATTCGTAGGACGTGCGTCGTAGAATTCGTAGGACTGAAGTCCGAGGAACGGTGTTTGGGCACGACTGGGGACGCAACAGTCACGTCGGTTCGCGGCGTTGTAGCCTCAGGAATGATGGTCAGGCACGGTTTACCGCCTCCAAAGCGCAGTCACCTTGACTCGCGACGCTGAGGTCCCAGAAATGTTATTTGGCGCCAGTGCATCTTACCAGACGGTTGTCAGTCGCTGGAACCCGTCTGACAATGAAAAAGGAAGTGTAGTGACTTATGGGGAGGGCACTTGGAGGGAGGGTGTGTTGAAACAGTTTTGACGCACTGTGGGCTTACACTTGTCCTTCACCGCCTCCTCCTCCTCCTCTTCCTCCTCCTCCTCCTTCTCATCCTCCGCCTCCTTCCCCTCCCCCCCGTCCCTTCCCCCCTCCTCCTCCTCCTCCTCCTCCTCCTCCTCCTCCTCCTCCTCCTCCTGCGCCTCCGCCTCCTCCTCCTCCTCTTCACCATCTCCTTGACACGCCGCTGCTCCGAACATCCCCTCGATGTCCATGTCAATATGCCTAGATCTCTCGTTATCCGTCTCTGTATTCCGTCCGTGTCCTCCTCCTCCTCTTCCGCTTCCTCCTCCTCTTCATCCTCCTCCTCCCCTGCTTCTTCCGTCGTAGTCCTCATCCGTCGTTTCCCCTTCTCCTCCTTCGCCTCCTCCTCGGAGGGGAAGCGGAGGAGGCATGGGCTGAGGAGGAGGAGGAATATGAGAAGGAGAACGAGGAACACCAGTGGGAGGAGTAAGAGGAGGATCTCCCCCCATCGACCAGGTCAGGGGCACTGCGTCTTCGTGGGGCAGCCCAGGCCGTGGTTCTCGCAGCACCACGCCCGCCTCGCCTTGAGGCGTGGCGCGCGTGGCGGGGAAGAGCAGGAGGAGGAAAAGGCACAAGAAGGGGTCCTCGGTCCGCCCTTGTCATTCCCATCCCCCATCCTTCTCCTCCTCCTCACCCTCCTCCGCCTTCGCCTCCTCCTCCTCATCCTCCTCCTCTGCATCCTCCTCTCCTCCTCGTCCACCCCTTCCTCCTCCTCCTCCTCCTCCTCCTCCTCCTCCTCCTCCTCCTCCTGGTCCGCCTCCTCCTCATCCGCCTCCTCCTCCGCCTCCTCCTTCTCCTCGTCATCATCATCATCATCATCATCATCATCATCATCATCATCATCTCATCATCATCATCATCATCATCATCATCATCATCATCATCGTCATCATCGTCATCATCATCAGCATCAGCATCATCATCATCATCATCATCATCATCATCATCATCATCATCATCATCGGCATCATCAGCATCAGCATCATCATCAGCATCAGCAGCAGTATCATCATCATCAGCATCATCATCATCATCAGCATCGTCATCATCAGCATCATCATCATCCTCATCATCAGCATCGTCATCAGCAGCATCATCATCATAATCATCAGCATCATCATGAGCATCATCATCAGCAGCATCATCAGCATCAGCATCATCATCAGCATCATAATCAGCATCAGCATCACCATCATCATCCACATCATCATCAGCATCCTCATCATCATCATCACCATCATCATCATCATCATCATCATCATCATCATCATCATCACCATCATCTTCACATCAGCATCATCACATCATCATCATCACCATCATCATCATCATCATCATCAGCATCAGCATCATCATGATCGTCATCATCATCACCATGAGCATCATCATCAGCATAATCGTCATCAGCATCAGCATCATCATAAGCATCATCACCATCATCATCAGCAGCAGCATCATCATGAACATCATCATCATCATCAGCATCGTCATCATAATCATCAGCATCCTCATCAGCACCCTCATCCTCCTACTCCTCTGCATCTTCCCCCTCCTCCTCCTTCTCCTCCTCCACCTCCTCCTCCTCTCCCTCCTTTCTCCTTCCCCTGGTCCTCCTCCCCCCCTCCTCCTCCACCGCTTCGTCCTCCCCCTCCTCCTCGGCGTCCTCCTCCTCCTTCTCATCCGCCTCGCCTTCCTTCATCGTTCACTCTGCCCCTACGCAACGCCCTCCTCGTCCGCCTCGTCCTCCCTGTCCTCCTCCTCCTCCTCCACCTCCTCCTCCTCCTCTTCTTTTCCATTATTTGTTCTTCCCCTAATCATCCTCCTCATCCCCATCCTCCTCTTCGTTCTCCCCATCCTCCTCCTGCTCCTCCTCGTCCTCCTCCTCCTCCTCTTCTTCCTCCTCCGGCTCCTCATCCTCTGCCTCTCCGCCACGTCCTGCTCGTCCGCCTCGCCATCCCCGTCCTCCTCCTCCTCCTCCGCCTCACCCTCCTCCTCCGCCTCCTCCTCCTGCTCCTGCTCCTCCTCCTCATCATCATCCTCCTTACGTTTCTCCTTCTCCTCCTCGTCCTCCTCTTCCTCCTCCTCCGCCTCCTCCTCATCATCATTCATCTCCTCCTCCTCCTCCTCCTCCTCCTCCTCCCCATCCCCCCGCTCCTCCCCCTGCGATTCCTCCGCATCGTTCGCCGCATACTAACCCTCATCCTCGTATTTTTTTTGGTCATGAACCTCCGTATTCGTATGATGAGCAGTATTCCTCTTAACAGGCCTTACTATTCTTGGTAATACGATGCGACGTCCGCCACCCATGTTATGCCGTGTAACCGTAATATTGCTAGTCGTTGTAGTAGTGGTAGTAGTAGTAGTTGCTGTTGTTGCCGTAGCAGCAGTAGTAGTAGCAGCAGTCGTACTAGTAGTAGTAGTAGTAGTAGTAGCAGTAGTAGTAGTAGTAATAGTAATAGTAGTAGTAGTAGTAGTCGTCATAGTAGTCGTAGTAATAGTAGTAGTAGTAGTAGTAGTAGTTGTTGTTGTTGTCGTTGTTAGTAGTAGTAGTAGTAGTAGCAGCAGCAGCAGCAGTAGTAGTAGTAGTAGTAGTAGTAGTAGTATTAGTAGTAGTAGTAGTAGTAGCGGTAGTAGTTGTAGTAGTAGCAGTAGTAGTAATAGAAGTAGTAGATAGTAGTAGATAGTAGTAGATAGTAGTAGATAGTAGTAGTAGTAGTAGTAGTAGTAGTAGTAGTAGTAGTAGTAGTAGTAGTAGTAGTAGTAGAAGTAGTAGTATTAAGAGTAGTAGTAGCAGCAGTAGTAGTAGTAGTGGTGGTGGTGGTGGTAGTAGTAGTAGTAGTGTGATTCGTACTACTAGATTTATTGTTAGTAGTATGACTAATGTGACGCGTACAATTAGCATTGGCAGTCGAATTATAACTAGTATTATTGGTGTTCCTCCTCCCCCTCCCTCTCCCCCTTCTCATCCTCCTCCTCTTCTTCCTCCTCCGGCTCATCCACCGCCTTCTCATCCTCCTCCTCCTACACATACTCCTCCTCCCCCTCCTCCTCCTCCTCCTCCTCCTCTCCATCCACATCCTCGTCCCCCTCCTCCTCCTCCTCCGCATCCTCGTCTTCCTCCTCCTTCTCCTCCTCCTCCTCCTCCTCTTCATCATCATCCTCATCATCAGCATCATCAGCAGCATCATCATCATCAGCATCATCAGCATCATCCTCCTCCTCATCATCATCACCACCATCATCATCATCATCATCATCCTCCTCATCCTCAACCTTCCCCTCCGCCTTCGCCTCCGCCCCCTTCCGCCCCCTCCTCCCACTCCCCCTATTCCTTCTCCTCCTCCTCCAATTTCCTCCTTCTCCTCCTCCTCATCCTGATCCTCCTCATCCGCCTCCGCCGCCGCCGCCGCCACCGTCTCCCACCCTCCTCTTCCTCCTCCTCGTCCGCATCGTCAACGTCCGCGTCATCATCATCAGCATCATCATCATCAGCATCAGCAGCATCGGAATCAACATTATCATCAGCATAATCAGCATCATCTGCATCAGGAGCACCAGCATCGTCATCAAACGTATCACCATCAGCAGCATCAGCCCCATCATCATGAGCATCATCATCATTAGCAGCATCAGCATCATCAGCACCATCATCATCAGCAGCATCATCGCCAGCAGCAACATCAGCAGCAGCATCCGCATAATCATCATAATCAGCATCAGCATCATCATCCTCATCATCATCCTCATCATCCCCATCGTCATCAGCATCGTCCTCAGCGGCAACATCATCCTCATTAGAAGCATCATCAACCACAGCATCGTCATGAGCATATCATCCTCATCATCAGCATCAACATCAGCAGCATCATCAGCAACCTCCTCACCATCAACATCCGCGTCACCCTCCTCCGCCTCCTCCGCCTCATCATCCCCCTCCTCCCCCTCCGTCTCCTCCGCTGCCTCCTCCTCCTCGGCATCCTCATCCTCCCCCCTATCCTCTTCCTCCTCCTCCTCGTCCTCCTCCTCCTCCGCCTGCTCCTCCTCCTCCTCCTGCTGATCACCATCATCCTCATCCTCAGCTTCATCCTCATCATCATCCTCGCCTCCTCCTTCTCCACCGCCTCCTCTTCCTCCTCCTCTTCCTCATCTTCCTCCTCCGCCTCCGCGTCCACCTCCTCCCCTGCCTCCTCCATCTCCTTCACCTTCTCATCTTCCTCCTCCGCATCCTCCCCTTCGTCCTCCTCCTTCGATTCCTGCGCCTCCGCATCATCATCCTCCTCCTCCAACTCCCACTCCTCCTCCTCCTGATCCTCCTCCCCATCCTTCTCCTGATCCTCCTCAACCTCCACAACCCCGTCCTGTCCCGCGTCCTCCCTCGCCTCCGCCCCGGCCTCGGCCTCCTCCTCCTCCTTCGCCGCAACCCCCATCATCCTCCTCCCTCCCCACGTCCTCCTCTTCTTCCTCCTCATCCTCCTCCTCCCCCGCCTCCTCCCCCTCCTCCTCCTCCTCCTCCTCCTCCTCCTCCTCCTCCTCCTCAGCATCATCATCATCAGCATCATCATCAGCGTCATCATCGGCATCATCATCATAAGCATCATAATCGTCACCACCAGCATCAGCAACATCAACATCATCATCACCACCATCATCATCATCAACAGCATCATCATCGTCGTCCTCACATCATCATCATCAGCATCATCATCATCATCATCAGCATCATCATCATCATCATCATCATCAGCATCAGCATCATCATCATCATCATCATCATCATCATCATCGTCATCATCATGATCATGCTCATGATCAGCATCGACAGCATAATCAGCATCGTCATCATCATCATCATCAGCATCCTCATCATCAGAATCATCCTCATCATCAGCATCCTCGTCAGCATCATCATACGCATCAGCATCAGTCTCGACATCATCATCATCATAATCATCAACAGCAACATCACCATCGTCATCAGCGTCGGCATCAGCATCATCAAAAGCGTCAGAATCGTCAGCATCATCATCAGCAGCAGCAGCATCGGAATCAACATTATCATCAGCAGAATCAGCATAATCTGCATCAGCAGCACCAGCATCATCATCAAACGTATCAGCATCACCAACATCAGCCCCATCATCATCAGCATCATCATCATTAGCAGCATCAGCATCGTCACCGCCATCATCATCAGCAGCATCATCGCCAGCAGCAGCATCATCAATCGCATCATCATAATCACCATAATCAGCATCAGCATCATCGTCGTGATCATCCTCAACATCATCATCCTCATCGTCATCAGCATCGTCCTTAGCGGCAACATCATCCTCATTAGAAGCATCATCAACCTCAGCATCGTCATGATCATCATCATCCTCATCATCATATTCAACAGCAGCAGCATCATCATCAACAACCTCATCATCATCAACATCCGCCTCATTCTCCTCCTCCTCCTCCTCCGCCTCATCATCCCCCTCCTCCCCCTCCGTCTCCTCCGCTGCCTCCTCCTCCGCAACA